CTCTCTCTCTCTCTCTCTCTCTCTCTCTCTCTCTCTCTCTCTCTCTCTCTCTCTCTCTCTCCCCTGAAGGATCTTGTCTCTGAATACGTCCGCTACCACTCAGCTCTATCTCCTCCTACTAGTTGTGCGACTATGCTCATCTTCCCTCTCAGCACAGCGCTGCCCAGCAAGGCTCTCGCACATGCCACTCGCAGATAGCGCACAAGCGCTCCAGCAGCACTTCCACACTTCTCATGAATGAGCAATCTGCCTGAAATGAGCAATCTGCCTGAAATGTGGCTCGCCAATCCTTATATTGACTTGGACTGAGCCTGAACTCATCCAACCTCTACTTCCTTTGGATTGACTTGGTCCCGCTACCACATGTCTGCGGCTTGTTTCCTTCAGAATGTTGAGGCCTAGTACTTTCCCAAATTTCATTGGTGTGTTGCTGGTTGGGTCTGTGAGTCACGACTTTTCGTTTATGGAACATGACTTTTGATTGTGGAATGTGACTCATGCTTCTGGAACACGACTTTCGCCTGGAGAGGTGTCCTTTGCCTGGGCATATGACCTTTCAATATGAGACGTGACTTTTGCTTATGGAATGCAACTTTTGCCTTTGGGATGTAACCATTCACCGGGTGCCTGTTGGACTTGACTCCTAATGTCCCCTATTTTGACCTTTCTAAACTTGCCGACTTGGCCTCTTTTAACCTGAGACCTTGACCCTAAGATTCAAATTTGGGGTCTGCATCGTGGAATGTCTTTCAAGATAAATAGACATGGTCGATACTATCCAACAGGCCCCAGGAATCGAAGTGTTCTGAAAGCATTGTAAGAAACGTTTTAGTATTTCCACTCTAGGGATTTGATGAGATTTAATGAAGAGTCATGGGAAAAAGGGGTGTTTGGTGCATTGATTAGTAGGGCAAGGGATTATCTCCCTCCATTATACAAAAGGCGATACGAAAAACATCAGAAAATACAGACCAATCACCCTAATGACTGAAGTCTATATAACATGTTTTCCAAGAATCTAACCAATAGATAAAGGGGTTTAGTGCAAACAGTGATACATCCTTGCCAAACAAGGTCCGCGGAAGGACGAACCATCCAGGATGTAGGTGGTGTGACAGGACAAGGCCAATGATGCAGCCATTATCTTTGTCGACTTTGAAAAAGCGTATGACCATCTGGACGTCGAATCCATGCCATGTCATGTAGGAGGTCTGAGGTTATTGCACTGCCAGTGCTCAATCCTGGTAACCAGCCTGCGAGTAGTATCAGGATATGGTGGCCGTTGGGGGTCCCACCCCAATGTGCATATAGTTATGTGTTGATCTGGGGTTGGACTCCCTGTGGATGAGGTCTATGTGACGAAGAGCAAGTGTGCGCCAGCTGCCTGTGTGGTGTTCTATGTGTGTGGAGTAAGGTAAGAATACTGCAGTCGTGCAGTTTCCGGTGGACATCACAAACGGTATGTTTCCACTTCTGAACATAGCATCACGACTGCAGTGTTTCCCATGCTTGGCTCTTTCGGCCAAGGACTCCGGTTCGAATCCGTGTTGTTTCATGGAGGAGGTCTAAGGTTACTGCACCTGCAATCAGACTCGTTTTCTCGATTACTTAGCATGCATGCAAACAAATGGCAATCCACACTGGCGCCAGGCGCCCACACAAAGCTCATAGATATTAAGGTCGAGAACACAATTCAGATGTAAACTCGCTTCAAATCCGCTATGGCACATGAGCGCCTACACATGACCCTTCTGATCCTGTATTCACAACAACTGTTCACACGCACACCATGCTGGATCTCCCTAGATGTTCCCAGCACGCTCACTCTCCACACCACACACTCACACACGCACGCTACACCCTATCGCTAACCTACACAGCTATGGCTACGCTCTACCACTATCACCAGCTAACAACTATGGCCGCTCTGTCTTCCTTGCAGTCCACTTTGACTTCGGGCATCTGCAAACCACCTTGCACAAGACGCTCGGGCAGTGCTTCAGCATGGCCCACGCAGAATGGATGAATGGTTGGACGCTGCCTCTTGATTATACTTCTCTTGGTCGCTGGTCTGCTCCTTCCACCGGGCCCAGGGTGTACACAGTCCCACATGGTACTTGCTGACTGGACAAAGTGAAATTGGGACTGGGTACCGCTGACTAAGCAAAGTTGGACTACCCATTCGCCTACTTGCCTCTGGTCTAACGTGAGCAACACTCGAAAGGCCACTTCCGAAACCTTCTGAAAGCCTATAGACTTGGCCTTTCGAAACTGTAGCACCTACGACTTTGACCTTTCACAATTGCTACAGCTCCGACCTTGACCTTTCAGAAATCCTACAGCTACGACCTCTACAAAGCTACGACCCCTACTTGATAGACCTACGGATCGAAACCCGACAACTACACGGACCTATGACAAACAACAACCAACTACCAAGACAGAGGTCACGGGATCAAACACACAGGGTTCGACTCGATACTGTACACAGGTGAGGTCGAGGTCTAGGGATCGAGCCCTGGGATCTACATCTACTACTGCAAAGGTGAATACCATTTCACTCCCACCGGCCTAAATTCGAGGTCCTCCAAGAATACTTCAATCTAAGGCAGGACCTTTACCTTTCTTGTGTCTCTCATAGGCTCAGACTACATCGGGAGCAGTCTCTAGCAGTTTTGTTCGAGTGAACCAGCGATGGTCCTCTGGTTCTTGAAAGGAGAATTTGACTTTATACTGTTTTTTGTGGACGACTACCTCATGTTCTAAACACATCCTCATCTACTATGCAATCAATGTTGTACCTTCCATCCATATCTGGAGGAATCATTTATCTTCGCGACAAAAATTGTTGACTCGTTGTGCAAGGTAACAACTTTGATGCGTGAAAAACTGGATATGTATGGAGGTTTGTTGGGATCTCTATTGTCTAGGACGGCCCATCCTCTCCACCCTTGACTTCTAAGACTAGCCACGATCCTCAATATGCAGGCAATAGCTTCTACGAGATGTTGTCCTTAGGAGCGAACTCTTTGGACTTGACCCAGACCAAGTCACCTACTTGGAACTGTG